AGCGCAGCGCACTGCGAGGGCTGTGCATTCCCCCCGCCGCCACCCCCCCGTGCAGTTTAAAATAAATCCAACAGGGGCCGTGTTTGCTGAGCTGATTTGACCGGTTGATACAGATAGCAGCGGCGAGCCTCCCTGCTTATGTGGAAAAAGACTATTTTAAGTGTCATAATTAAGTTTAGAAGCCTTGTTTGGGCTCATTCACTGCTCGAAATAAAAAGGAATGGCTGCTTTTAGACCCTTTTTGAAGGGGTTGGCTAAGCGCCTCTGCACGTTCGCTTGGAAAAGAATGTTTTCTTTTCTAGTTTAATATTAGAAACTATATTTTTACTTGTTTAAACCGGATTTGATTGTTCCTGTGGAGATTTTTTCCCCCCTCCTATCACTCAAATCTTTGTTCATTGTTCATTGACTGTGGAAGGCTGCTTAAATGTACGGAGAGAGGGGGGAGGCCCCCTTGCTGGTTTGATGTTGAAATAGTAAACCTGAATGAGGAGGGTGGCTGGAAAAGTGGACATTGCAGCTTTAATTAACTTCAAGATGCTTCAGCGAGGACCAGAGCGTAGTAGTGACGTTGCCTCATAAATCTGTCCAGTACAGTGCGTTGCATTGAACTATTACAGTATCACCATCATATTGAATATTCACTACCTATCCGGGAGCAGATTTGCATAATTGGATCTTTTTTAAATGAAACCTGTCTGCAAAAAACAAACAAAAGCAAAAAAACAAAAGCCCAAGTGAAAACCGCGGCGATCTGCATGATTATAAGGGTTCAAACATATCCGAAAAGTAAGTGACCTGCATAAGTACATCAATAGGTTAAGTGCAAATAAGATGAGAAGTGCTTCTGAAAGCTGTACATTCCCTATGTGGTCTCTTGGGTTATTTCTCAATAGCGGGATTTTTTTGTAGCCTCAGGGATTTTAGGTTTTCTGTCTGTTTTCATAACTTTTTCCCTCACAGTTCTTATACAAGGTGAGGCTTTTTTACAGCATCTGTATACCTGTAGCAATATCTTGAAAGCAAATAGATTAACAAATTGCAATTTGTGGTGTTTGAGTTGTATAATTGCAGCTGCTATAGAAGGGAAATGTATATTGCTGTTGTGTTTCTGATCGTTGAATAGATCATCACTAAATACTTCAGAATGTTCCAAGATTGTGTGTGTACGTGTTTGTGTATGTTTAAAATTTGACTTAGTTAACCAAGCTGTTACCTCTTTAAATCAGAGAGGCAACTAGTTTTTTTTTTAACGTGTTCCCTCCCCCCCCTTTAATTCACAGAGGATGAAGGTTACTAAAGTAATTAAAAATACCAGAAATGTTTAAGTGAATTTGTAGATTGTATGTGAAACCCGTCCCCTCCTAACTGAGTGGCTAGCTTACAGTATCTTGTTTTTTGATCAGGCAGGTTTAAAAGTATTTTGTAAAATAAGATTCTCGTATTTCAGACGCTGAAAGGATGAAGTTGTAGAATTAAGGCAGTTGAAAGCACTGCCTCCTAAAAGGGGGAGCAGTGACTCCCTCAGTCCAGACCAGCAGAAGTGCAAAGCCCGTGCGTGGTGTGAGCGTCGGGCTGGTCCCCCCTCGCCGAAGGCTGTTTTAGTTATGATGTCATTCTGATAGTGGAGAGCAAATGTCTCCTGATTCTACCATTAAACGCCTGGCTGATTTGCCTGATAATGATAGCATTGACGTCCTGCTCCTTGACAAATGCAAGCCCTATGAGCCCTATGAATTAACTTTTCCCATAGATGAGAGCTAGCTGGCTTTAGGACTCATGAACGTAGCAGCGCCTCTTTGATAGATTACTTTGAGACTTCTCATTTCTGCAGGAAAAAATCTTCCCTAAATACCACTTCTGTCAGACTACTGCTAGACCCCTGCATAGTTGAGGCCTGATTTCTGGAGCTGCTGAGCACCTACACTCAACTTCCACTGACTTCAGTTGTGGGTGCTCAGCAGCTTTGAAAATCAGGCCCTGTGTTCAGTTAACAGCTGATTTGTTTTTTTTGGTTTGTTTGTTTGCTTTAAGTTAGACAGCTATAGAGGGCTCTGTGATTTGTAATTGTTACAAAAATATTCACAAATAGCTTAAGATGTTTGTCCTAGTCTGTTATTTTCTTTCTGTTATACTTTTTTTTTTTTAACTTCACCTTATAGTGGATGTACTGTTAGAATTTTAATCTTTCAAAGAAAAAAATCGTAAATAAGTTGTTTAAAGTTTTCAGAATGCTGTGAAAAGAAAATATATCCAGCTTGGTAACAAGTGCGTAAGGGGTCAACTGATGTTTCAGAACGTTCACTAGAAGAGGATCTTGGTATAGTCGATAAAACCTGAAATTGGGTACGCTTTCTTGTATCTGCTCTGTCTTTAGATTTTATTTGTGACTTTGAATTTGTATGATTGCAGTTAAATGAGATTTAATATGACTTATTTTTTTTTTAAAGTACCAGTGGCTTAAACTTTGTTTTCATTTACTGTCCAGAAGATCGTAATCAACAATGCACATGTAAGAAAGGATGGTTCCTCCATTACATTTGCAGGAAATGCACCTAAAATATTTGCATGTTAAAGCTATGTTTTGCGTAAGAGTTCCTGAAGATATAAGTTGTTATGAGGGAAATACTGTTTTAAAACACTTAATAAATTGGCTATGACTTTATCAGTTCTGTAGAAGAAAAAGTTCTACAGGCTTTTTGATTTTGAACATATTTGAGCTCTCTAATATTCAGCAAGTTGTCTGGCACGGTCTTTAGCGAAGACTTTTATATCATGAAGAGGCTGATTGTCATATTTTTGTCCATGCTAGAGGCCAATAACCCAACCCATTCATTATCAGAAGAGAGTAACCTGGAAGTTGCAGCATCAGTACCACTGTTTTGCTTGCAGCAATGAAGACAGTGCAGAGATCAGAAATTGTGATCTTCAGTACAGAAGGCTGGTACATTAGGTTGTTTACTCACCATAGAAGCCTTAGGTGACCAAAGAGATTTGCATTAGAAGAGATGTAGAAAATCCACTAGCCCATTAAAATGGGCTGTGCTTATTCCTTGGGAAGCATAAGTTTTCTTCAAGTATAGGAAAATCTGCACAAGTCATTCTTCCAAATGTTGGTTGTTGCTTAAAGTTGACTTTGAATTGCACAGGTGTTTTTAGAGTGTTTTCCTTAAAAAAAAAAAAAAAAAAAAAAGGAAAAAGCATAGATTTATATGAACTTAAAAAAAAAAACAAACTATAAGTAGATTTATTTTTTTCAGTTTGAATGAGGACAATTACAGCTTTTTAGTATCTCCTGATTTAGCATGGTTTGATAGGACTTATAA